CAATCAGTTGGAGCTGAGCGTCAGAAAGATCTGGTGCCGATTCCTCCTCTCGTTTTGGCGAAACGAAAGATCGAACGGCGAAGAACCAAATAAATGTGTTGTGGAACAAACCGCACATCGGCAGCCTGAGAAAGAGTCTCAGTTAGAGCTGAAGGTCAAGAAAATAGCCATGCTCTTGCATCTGAATCAATGCCAACACTTTAGAATCAGATAAGGAATGGCAAAGTCAACTATGACTGACAGCACCGATTATTAAAGACACGAGCAAACAAAGAGCGAGTACGCGGCTTTCAGATGGCGACCATCAATAGTTAAGATGGCCACTGAAGCCAATTCACTTTTAGCGAGCAAATAAAAACAGTGAGGCTGTTTCACAGAAGCGTCTGAGGTCAGAATTAGTCTCAAAAAGCAGCCTCAAACTTAAAACATTCCCAAATTACATAAGGCTCCCTGGTAAGAGGGAAAAAAAGGGAAAACAACCACGGTACATATGAATTAAATTAGTGCTGGCAACATCTCCACAACACCACAGAGAAGGTACAAACACTAAGAGGCCAAACTTTCCCCCCCTCTAACTCTCTCTCTTTTACTGCATGTATAAGATGGAGAATGTCTTATGTAATGTACACGAAGCTGGGAGCTCATGGAAAGTGGGAGACAAAAAACGTGAGGGAAGGACGGAGGAAGAGAAGGGAATAGAAGCCGAGTTGAACGCGAGGAGGAAATGGCGTCTCAGGGAATTAGGGATGGAGGGGAAGAGGGTGGTAGGAGGGAGGGGGGTGAAGGGGGCAAAGTCTGGAAGCTAGCTGACAGGATTGGATATGCCCAGACAGAGAGCCAGGCCCAGGCCCAGACTTGAGAGCCTTATGTGAATCTCAGAAATGCCTCACCCATCTCTCTCCCTCACCCCCTTCTCTTAAAAAGAAAAAAAGAGAAACCCTCACAATTCCTCCCTTCCCAGTCCGATACTCCTCAGCCATACTCACGGGCAGAGCTCCTCCCTTTCTTTTCTCCTCAAACAAGCAAACACACAAAGTCAAACTGGACTGCTGTAGTGCCCCTGAGCACATACGACAGAATCCAGGGTGTTGACCGAGCAAGTAAATAATAACATAAACCAGCTGCGGCTCCACTTCAACCACAATACTTTGGGTATATTACTGTACAACTGGCAGATCCCTTAACTCAGCTCTCTGATCCCTTAAAGGGTCAAACTAGATCTACTTTTACTTTCATTTGCAAGTTAAACAGTAACAATGAAGCTGGAAATGAATCAAAAGTACAAAAAGGAAAAAGGAAAGGAGAATAAAAGGGAAAAAAAGAGAGCGTCTTCCTCTAAAATCTCCCATGTCTTAGCTCTCTTTCTCTATCTTTCCTCATCAGTAGTGCCCTGCCCCAGACATGGTCTGCATATTGTCTGCAAGGCTTTGCGAGCTGAAATTCTCTCATGATAGAAATACTGAGCAGGGAGTGCAGAAGGCGCTTTAAAGAGAATGGGAAGAGGTAGGGCGGGGTGGTTGGAGTGAAGCACTGAGTTGTCTGTGTTTATTTTGGAAATGCAGGACTGCACACTTGCAGCAGAGGAACTGACCCTAAACTTCACCGATCCTCACAGAAAAAGCCAAACCCGAGCACTCATTTAGGATGTCCCACACAGGTGATTTAAGAAAAGGGTAGACCATATATCCCCTCGGGGCAGGGGGCTGAGGGGTAGTTTAACCCACCCTGGGGACACAGGAATGGTCTGCTCGAGGAGGAAGCAGTGAGGCCGTGAGGTGATTAGTGGTTACAGTTTAACTGGAGAAAAATGCACGGTGCGTGAGCCCCAGCCAGCCTGGGAGCAAAGCGGTATGCACTGGTCTTTTTCAGTTTTCAAACTAGAATGAGTCAAGTCACTGTATGCACTTTGTCTATTCTTAATGCATGGGTCCAAGAGTGTGACCCATACAGACACATCAGTCTGCAGCGCTCCAAAATATGTCTGTGTCATTCAGCAAGCACGTGGCAATGATTAGGAATAAAAGATTTGATTCGTCTGGAAGTGATTTACTATTATATACAAGTTTATCTACATTCAGGTATTGAGATTTACATGGAAGTAGCCACCAGGTCACAATGTTCAGCTTGAGGCTACAAGAGAGGACTTTACTAACCAGTGGATGATGCCAAAGTGGTTTTATCCACCCTTTATGTACGGTTAGTGGTAAGCAATTGAATGATTACATTGCCGTAGCGTTTTGGCAATAATTTAATTAATTAATGATAACAGGCAACTCATTCATTGCGACTTATCTTCAAATAGGCACAGCTTTCTTAGAAATGTATCCAAAAACTGACCATCCTCTCTTCTCCGCCTAGCTTCAGTACAAAGACATTTCTTCTGGCACAACACTTGCATCTCCTCGATCACTGGTAACGAGCTTGAATGCACGACCCCGCCAAATGCGTTCGAGACGTGACATTTCCCTAATGCATGAAGCACGAGGCTGTTCATCTGATTAGCGTTAACTCTCTACAAATGCAAACCCCAGAAAGGACAGGCTCTGCCATGGGAAATCTCAAGTGCTGCAGCTCTTATCCCTGGGAAGATAAACGCAAGTGTGTATCAGGTGCCTTGTTTTCACTGCATGCTGCCTCATTCACTGACCACTGTAATCCTCCCTCCCCTGCTGCTGAGTTGCCTTTCAGCTCGCCTGTAATCCCTAGCAGCTACGGAGCCCCACTGTGATATTAATTCGAACACTCAACTTGGCTTTACCAAGCAGGTTTGTGCAACTTACATCCCACCCACTTACTGGTAGCAATCCTTGCCCTCCGCACAGTGTTTTTTCCCCTCCTAAGTAGCAAACATATTGTTGTGGTTTTACATGAAACTGTGAAAAAAACCCAACTTGCTTCTGCCACCTTTTAGACTTTAGATGAGGATTTCTTTGGCGGCAATGCAAAAAGCACAATGTAACAATCAAATCTATGGTGTCCATTTGTATTGGGCCTCGTTTAAGGTATTAAGCACAAGTGCACCCTGGGTTCCCACCATCTCTCTAGCACAAACCTCGTGGTAATGCTGACGCAGGAGTACGCCTTTGAGTTCCACCTTTTCCACCATAAAACAGCTGCCGTTCCCTCACAGTTTGGACCAAAACTGAATGATGTCACGGTTGCGGTGCAATCTCAAGACACATGGAAAATTGAGGAGGGGGTGAATACCACACCCATGATCTGATTTTAGAGACTGGCACGGTGGACAGCCTTAATAGTACATATCCTCTGAGGAACCAACTACAGCAGCCAAAGGCTGTCAGACCTATAACTCTGGCTAGCACTCGGTGCAAGTTGTTGCTCCCAGCAGCAGTCCAGTTCCCTACATATGGCCAAGTATGAATTAAGGGAAGGAAAAGGAAATATACAGCAAGAAAATTACACACACACATCCTGTGAGCGTGGAATGCCACCACAAAGATGCACAGCTGGAGCTCTGTGGACATCTGGCTTTATGGTGGAGATGAGAGACTTTTCTCTGCAATGACTAAATGTTGTGGGAGAGAGTCGTTGCCTGAATAGCGATGGTGATAAATGCCTTTCCGTCTGACCACAGCCTTTCTCTCGGATGGATGTTATGGTTGACCTGCGGCTGAACTGATCATCAGCTGACTGGATAAACAATGCAGCCAGTGGGCTGTGGATGTGAGGAGCACCTGTGCTCACAGTTCTGAGAAGGTTTATGGATTACATAGTGGGGGCCTCAGGGAGGGAGCAAAAGGAGTCTCTCCCTGTGCAGAAAGCCTCCACGGCCTCTTTCGCTCCTTCCCCACATTCTTTGAGAGAGGTCCAGTGGGCCTGTGGCCAGACCTCCTCTCTCCACATGCTGCCTGTGTGACGGTTTTTCTCATGCACCAACACACTATATTGTTCACAGAACATCTCACAGTCACCTTGGAAATATACAGTCATCCAGCTCTTATCCCAGCCGCTGAGTGTGCCTCGTTCTGCTTGTGGCCTAATGCGTTTTAATGATCAGGCCTTATTACCCTCCAGCGTAGGCCTTGTTAGGTCTGCCTTGGCAGGGCAGAGCTCGGCTCTCTCTCTCTCCTGGCATCTTCTGGAACAATGGGACCAGGGGAGGCAGCCAATGGGGAGAAGGTCCATCCCAGGCCCAGTCCCAGTGTGCACACAATTAGGCTTAGGAACAGTGGAATTGCTTAATTGGAGGAAAATAGCGCTTTATCTAGGTTTCTCTGCCAGGGCTCATCCTTGCCCCCCTGTGCTACATGCTTGGTCGCATCTAACTCAGAACTGGATGGAAAAAAATGACACAATGGCAGGCATATAAAAAGACCTAAAAGGGGTCTTAAGATCATAGTTATGGGCAAAATATTCCATTTAATCACAGCACATTTTATACCCAGTTGCAGCAAGATGAAAAGTTTAAGTGAGAAAATGAGTTTAAAAAAAAAAGAAGTATTTTCTCATCTTCGTTATTTACCAATAACAAACATCACCGGTTTACGTATCACTCACAAGCATGGAGACGTTGAACTCTCTATCAGATGCGGTGGCAAACATCAGAGAGCTTCTATCAGGGAGGCTCTGTCTTGCACAACAGCTGGCTGAGCGGTGATGCATGCCTCTATATAGGGCGAGATTTGTGACACTGCTCTAAAAATGTCTCTCTCGGAGTCTGTGGAGAGGGATGCTGGATTAAGAACGGATGCAGACACGCGGAAAAGGTCGGTGACGCGGTTTGTGGGTGAATGGCACAAAACCCGGCGATGGCACGCTCGCCTCTACCGGCCTGTTGGCTGTGACAGAGCGGGGAGTCCTGGCTGCAGGATTTTCGGCGCACCGCTGGAGAGAGTCCCCGAAAATAGGTCACTGCCCTGTTTGAACTCGCGCAAATTTTCCTCACAAAGCAGGAGCGCACTCACACCAGCGTGACCACGCAAGACAAGTGGGCACAACACACAGAACTGACGTCTCAGATAGGGTTGCCTTTGGCTTACCTTGAAGCGAGAATGCCGTGGATGTGGTCGAGATATCTCCGGCTTGGTCCCGATCTCTGCTGTGCAAACTTCGCACGCAAAGTCCCGTGGCTCTAACGGCGTCTGTGTCAAGAAGACCCCTCGTCAGTTTGTTGCTTTTTCTACGTTAAAAACGAAATAAACAGCTGTCATGTCTTGGGAAAATAGAACTAGGTGTCTGGAGAGGCGGTCCGTTTGCAGACCATTGTCAGGATTATTTCTAAGCATTGAAAAGCAAACATAAGCCTTAAAACGCAGCGTGTGTGACAGCTGCTCGTTTAAATAAAGGCTTGTCTACGAGGATGACAGCCTTGTCTGTGGTCGTGGGGTGATATTTTGCATGTTATCCCGACACTGGAAACCCGTCAAAAAAGTGCAAACACCCAGAGATCCTTAGCCTGAACTGTTCCCGCTGAGGAAAAAACAACGAAGACCACTTGCTTGTGCTGTGCATCAAAAGCGCATAGGTGATTTCTTCCTAAATTCAAAGCGCATCGCTTAATGGCAACGCTGGTCAAGTACAGGGGTTCCTATGGGTGGTCTTGCTTCTCCAAAGAGGGGGCGGGGGTGAAGGGGTGGGAGGGCACCAAGTGGTGGTGGTGGATAGGATAGATAGGGCGGGTTGGCGACGGGATGTGGGGTAGAGGGAGAGGATCGTCTCTAGCTTCTTCGGTGATTTTCCAGATGCAGAGGTAGGGCTGTTTTTGGTTTCTTTTCGCGCAGCGCAGTGATCCCCGTGTGTCTTCTGCCTGATTTTTTTTCTCTCTCCTCCCTCTCCGCACTCGGGGAGACGCTGAGTGCTGATGGAAGTCTCCCCCACGACCGTCTGACGCGCACAGACAGCCGCCCGGAGCCCAGCCAGCCCGTCAGGACCAGCCCAGAGTCTGCCAGCTCAGCGCATGCTTACTGCTCCGCCCATCCACCATGGGCAGTCCCAGGCTCCTCTCCAAACTAACCCTCTCTCTCCGTGTCCTCACGGTCATCTCTCCGCCCCTGCTCCCCGCCAACAACAGGCCATCGCACAGGGTGACACCTCTCTTGTTTACAGTTTAAAATGTTCTCTTCTTCTTCAGTTTTGTCTCTTTGCTCGTATTAGCCACTAACTCAGCCCCGACAGGCTGCTCTGAAAAGACGAAAAGCGCCGTTACGTAATTTAAAAGTTCAGTCTCGAGAAGAGCAGGCGATCCTTCTGCAAGACAAACGCACATTTTCACCACACGAGCCAAAACATCCCGTACTTGGCTCGTACACTGCACTGTCGTTAGAAATGTCAGTAATTATAAGGATGCATTACTGTAGCGGTAATTAGACAAAGCTGGTTATAGCAAATGCAGTATGTGAGGTAATTAACAGACAGATTATCCTTTTTAAAAGCTTAGCTGTGAGCACCATTTTTACCTTAAAGTGTTTATTTTTTTAATTTCATATTTTGATAATCAATGAATCAGTAAACAGAACAGGATTTGCTGCCCCCCCCTCCCTTTTTTGTTGTTGGTACACTGTCGCCATAAGTTGTAAGAAAAACACATCAAACATATTTTAAACCTTTATTTGTTTACTTATTTACAAACTTTTCAGTTGCTGCATCTACAGTAGAAATTCACTACATTGCCTAGTTTGTCATATTTGGCTGAATCCTCATATAATTTAGTGCATTCTTCGGGACAAAAGAAAGAAGAAAACAAAACAAAAACAACCCCCTCTTGTTTTTGTCATTTGGATGGAAATTACAGACCAATATTATGATTTGAGCACATAAACAGTGTGAAAATGTCACCAACTGAGCAATTTCACCTTCTGGAACAGTTCCCTGGGCCATTTACTCCTCTTTGAGGTTTCACATAACCCATTTGTTTCTCACAGTAATGGTAAGACTACAATTACACGGTTGAATTTGGGAAACAAAATGTCAGCGTGTTAGATTTTAAAATTTAAATGTCAAAAAAAGAGAAGTGATTGCTTGTCTTGTATTTTGTGGTATCAGCACGTTACAGACAAAGTCAGTGGCACCACAGTGATAGTGTGTGTGTTTGGAATGTAAATAAAGGGTAACCTGGAGTGATGTGGCCAATGCTGAGCTGTAAGTTACTGTAATATATTAGGATTAAAAGCCTTTTATTGTCATTATAAATGTATAAGTCAGATGCAAAGAAAAAATGAATATCATACAATAATTTGTACAGTAAATGTAAAAAAGTGGTACATAACAACATTACTAAATAACCAATGTAGATAAAAGGGATCTAAGAGGTAATGTGTCATTTCCAAGGTGCAAATATTTTGCTGTATATGTATCAGTGTGTACACCACTGTTTTCTGGTCTTATAGGCTTTTATATATGTTCTAACTTTTAAAGGAATTCACGTTTGTAAAATAACTAGCAGCAAAGATACCAACTCAAACAGAAGTCTCTGTCATAATCAATGCAACTTTTTTTTCTAACTTTTTTTCCTGATAGGTTTCTGTCCGGCCCATCTTGTGCCATCTAATGTGTTTGAGTGAGGTGTGCAATATGGCAGTGACTCGCCCTGGGTTTTCCTTCTACAACCACCAGGGGGCGTAAAGTTACCGGGTGGAAGGTGAAATAGCCTCCGGAGCCTTACATTTACTGCGAGAAAATAAAAATAAAAACAGTAATCTAACACTTCTATTAAAAATAAATAAAATGAATAATAAATAAATAAATAAATAAATAATGGGACTGAATGGAGTATTTGTACCATCAGTGTTGTAAAACATTAAAACTCCATCTAGCCTATCTTCATGTTATTGGAAAGTAATAAGCAGGGGCCTAAATAATAATGTCTGTGGAGTTTAAATCGTCTGCTATATCTGGAGGCATTACGATCTGATTCGGGATTCATGAACAAATGAATAATCCAGATAATATAAAGATGATTCAATGATGATGATGATTCAATATTCAAAGATGAACAATGTAGGCTTTATGAATGAAAGGTAAAGAGGGGGTTTGTTTCTTGGAAGCATTTGTAATTTGGTGAAACGGTGCTAAGACGCACTTGTCCAGAAGAGGGCTGCTTTAAAAATCACTGCCACGGTTTCCAGCACTGATCTCCCACAGATGTATTCCTCTATTCTCCTGTAAACGCCCGACAGCGTGCAGCCGCACCTGTGGGTAATTACTAAAAATGCGCCATCGTGAAAAGATATAAAGCTGCTGCTGCTGCGGCTCAAAATTCCGGATCAAATCCACTGCTCCCGTCCTGTGACTTCACTCCATGCATGCGCCATATAGCCTCTGTTTAACAGATTAGATTAGGTTACTGTAATTTAGCCTCCCGTGCTTCCACTGTGGGTCTGTCACACCCAAAATGGTGAACAACATTAACATTCAGTATGTGTGTGTGTGTGTGTGTGTGTGTGTGTGTGTGTGTGTGTCCCTAAAAGCCCTCCCCGGTGCGCTGTTGCTGTGCAGCGTTGCCAGATCGTCAGCTGATCCCTCTTGTTCCCTTATCGCAGCTGTTGGATTGTCCACCCCTGTAGTAGTCCCGCTCTTTATTTGCTCATGAGCCCGAGCTGTCACGGTGCACTGACATTTGGGTTATAAAATAAGGATTTAAAATAATGTTGTTGTTGTTGTTGTGTTTTTTTTAAGCCTATTTATGTTGAAATCATAGCCCCTCTCTACATAAAGTATATTTAAACCGATTCAAGCCATGTGACGGGAAACCATTAATGATTCAGCCCAGCTCTGTGACGGCAGATCTGATCACAGATCAGCTGTAAATGCCCCCCCCCCAGGTTTAAACATTTCAAGCTCCCTCCGCGGCTCTCCACATGTGTCGGTATATTTCTGCGCTAAATAGTCCTTTGTTTACACCCCCCCCCCCGTCTCTCTCTGCGGAAGGAGGCTTTTGGTAGTGCAGTGTGTGACTCCTACCAGCTGTTTCCCGCCTTGAAAGCCATCCGATCAGCTGCGCACACACACACAGACACACACACGGTCATGCAGAGGGAGAAAGCAAAGGGGAGGGAGAAAGAGAGAGAGAGGTAGAGCGCCACACACAACGAGGGAACCCCATCAGCTGGAAGTCGAGTAACATTACAACTCTCAGCAGCCTCAAAGTACTACATTACACGGACCAGGCATTCATATCTCCTCTGTGGATTTAACCCGCATCGGATCACGGGGGATTTTTACCCACTAACGTCATCATTTTCCCTTTTTATACCACGGAGACTGTTTGCTGCTTTTCTTTTTTTCCCCTTAAAAAACTGCTGGTGGTGGGGAGGGGGGGCACCAAACTGGCGAGAGGCGAGCATGGAGTATTTCATGGTACCAACTCAGAAGGTGCCCTCCTTGCAACATTTCAGGAAAACGGAGAAAGAAGTGATTGGTGGTCTTTGTAGGTGTGTATGCCACGCGCGTTTCACCCGACATGCTGTGCCTGTTATTATTTTTATTGTTATTATTATTATTATCACCGTCATCATCACTATTATCACCATCAAGTCATCTGCTGAGAGCACCGCGCACTTAGCGATGTCGGTTTTGGGCAACACGCTTGGTCTGATGTGTTATTGTGTACACGACCCTCTCACGCGGAGCTGCGGGCATTAATTAACATCAAACGGCGAGATCAAGGGGCGACCGAGCACGCGGGGGGCTCCCGCTGTGTCCACGGCGTCCTCTGCGTGCTTTTATTTTGCATCTTTGACTGCGAAATCGATGTATTTTGTGGCTAACAAACATAAACCACGTGGTTCCGTGCACACCACGCTGCTACTCGCTCAGCGCATCCCCGACCTATTTGTGCTTAAATAATCCCTCACCCGTGGCCTATGTGTACTTAAATTTACACGAGAAAGGGAAAGTTGAGCTAGCGGGCGTCGCGGAGTGTGAAGGGGTCTATTTTCGCCTCGCACATTCGTGGGGGTTGACGATTTCGCTCGCAGGGAGCCGAAGTTTATTGTGGGTAGTGCGGCCATGCTTGTGGCTTGTGCAAAAAAGTGATGGAGGTGGGGGGAGTGGATGAGAGAGGGGGTGAGAGGGTCTGGCGTTTGTTTCCTGTTTATGGCGCCCTGTTTTCATTCACTCCAAACGTTAAAAAAAGCACTGCTGTTGTCTTATTCGCCCCTGTTTTAGGCG